ACCCCGGCAGCAGCGCAGGGCTGGAAGGATCTGGCCCCTCCATCCCCTGCTCCTGGCAGGGAGCATCCTTCCCCACCCCAGTGGGAAAACATTGGGATGCTTCCCAGCTGCCTGCAGAGCCGAGCATGGGTGTTGGGGCAAGGAGGGGACCCACGGCTGCAGAGGGGACTCAATTTGTGGTTTATCCACATCTTTACTCAAACACAGGGGAATTAACCCACCCAGGCCTGTCCTCACTTTCCCTGGCACTCAGCTCCCCCAGAAGGAGTGTACTCGTGCTGTGATGCCACTGCATCCCCATTGCGTGACCACTGCCCTAGATGGTCACTGCAACAGTCTCCACAGATCATTCCTCCCCATTTCTAAAGGGATTATTTAAAAAACTGGAGCCCAGACCGGGGATGTGGGGTGAGCACGGACCACCTGGGCTTTCTCTATTCCCTTCAGGCCATCACCGGAGGAGGCTCTGCAGTGGCGCGATTCCCTGGAGAAGCTCCTGCAAAACCCCTGTAAGTACACATTCCCCTGTGGTCACATCCCCCTGCTGCTCAGCCCCCCTGGGACCCCCAGCGCTCAGCAAGGGCTCAGCAAGGGCTTGACCCCCCCACAGACGGGCTCGCCAGCTTCCACAGCTTCCTGCGCTCCGAGTTCAGCGAGGAGAATGTGGAGTTTTGGGTGGCCTGTGAGGACTACAAGAAAACCAAGTCCCCTGTGAAGATGGCAGAGAAGGCCAAGAAGATCTATGAGGAGTTCATCCAGACCGAGGCACCCAAAGAGGTCAGTGGCCATGGGGCGGGAGATGGTACCAGAAGGGATGAGGCTGCTGCCCTGATGGCCTCCATCCCAAAGGAGAGTGATGGCTGAAGGACACCCCGTACTGTGGCTGAAGGGCTTGGAGGGCTGTGCCCTTGGCAAGGGGCAGCCCCATCCCCACTGGCTGCATTCCACAGCTCCGGTGCCCCTGTTTGCATGCTCAGCCTCTGCTGGGCTGCCTCCTGCCATGGGCTCCTCCAGCATTCATCCTCCCCCAGAGAGGGCTTGCATTAATCATAAGGGATGACAATTCACAGTAATCCTCCCCCCACAGTTAGCTTTGCTGCAGGATAGACCTCACCCTTACAGATTTGCCACCAGCAATTCCCCCAGAGAAGCAAACTGCCCTAGTCCCTCCCCATAACCTTTGGGTGGTTGTTGGTGGGACAGAACAGGCGAGGGGAGATGCCATCACCCACCCCTCGCAAAGGCAGGGTCCCCATCCCTCTTACGCTCCCATCACAGGTGAACATCGACCACTTCACCAAGGCCGTGACCATGAAGAACCTGGTGGAGCCATCACCAAGCAGCTTTGACATGGCCCAGAAGAGGATCTTTGCCCTGATGGAGAAAGACTCCCTGCCCAGATTTGTGCGGTCAGAGTTTTATCAGGAGTTAATCAAGTAGCAATGCGGCAGGGCTGTGCGAGGCACTCCCCGCAGGCGGTCCCACTGCTTCTCTCTAAACACCTGCCCCTTCTCCTGCAGCCGCTTTGCTTTCTTGTTACCACCCTAGAAGAGCACCCAGGGGCATTGCTAAACATCTCCCCCGTGCTTTGGACTGTCAGGTGTCCTGATGTTTCCTCTCTTACAGTCTCTTTCCTCTCCCACCAAAGACCAACTAGCAGAACCCTTGGTGATCCTCCCTGGGTTTGGAGCCCAGAAGGGCAGTGGAGCAGCCCCAGCCCCGCAGCAACTGGGAGCCACTGGGACAGCTGGTGTGTCCCCGGTGCTCTGGGGCTTGGCTGTAGTTGGAGGCTCTGAGGCACTGGCTCTGCCTTCTTCGGACATGACAATATTTCTCCCAGTTTTGCCCGTGTCCCTGGTTTGGCCCAGGCTCTCTCCTCCTCCCAGCTTCTCTGGGCGCTGCTGAGGCTGCACAGGGTGCCCCACAGCCCCGGGGTGCAGGGTGGGGATGGCCACTGCGGGATGGGCATCAGCTTGTCTTCAGAAAGCAGCCGTTCAGTGGGCAGAGTGACGGCTGTATGGCAGGGACGGTGGTGTGGCAGAGGTGGCCATGTGGCAGGGACGGCAGAGCCGGCTGT